AAATATAGTGCAATCAGTTCGGACGTTGCACAATGCTCATTCAGTAAATGCACAGCTAAACAGATGAGTTTTGAGTCTGCATTTAAATGTGACTAATGTTTTAGCACATCTGATCTCTTCTGGAAGCTGATTCCAACTGCGGGCGGCATAATAACTAAATGCGGACTCCCCTTGTTTTATGTGAACCCTTGGTATTTCTAACTGACTCGATCCTAATGATCTGAGTGGTCTGTTTTTTGCTATCAATTTCCTCAAAAGCAGACATAGTATCTTCTTTTTGGTATTGCAGTCGAATCTGTCTGACCTCTGCATAATATTAGAGCGGTATACCGGATTTTCTGGTATGCAAAACAAGTACTTTAAAGGAACTCCTTTAGCTTATTGCCATTACTGTGGCAGCCAACAACAGCACAGCTTAACCCTGTGCACATTTTATATTTAGTTATATTGAAAAAGTTTTTTTACCCCATTTTAACATGGATTTCTATGGAGAGCGGCCATAACTGTCGGGCAAGATGGTGGATAGCAATGGGGGCACATAATATCCGCGTTCTGATTGGTAAGATCACCTGTCAATCAAGCTCCCTGCGAATGGTCAATTAAGTAAAAGACTATGATCAACAGTATCGAAAGTGGCTCTAAGATCAAGAAGGATGAAAATGGAAATTGCACCAGAATCAAAAGCAAGCAACAGATCACTTAACTTTGATAACTTTGATTAAAGCCGTTTTGGTACTGTGAAATTTATGAAAACCTGACTGTTGGAGTTCAAAAAGGTTACTGGTGGTAAAATGGTCACAAAAATGAGACCCAGATAGCATGCGGATGTTGTCCACTTAAGGATACGGCACTGGCCTTCTTATGGCCCGTACAAAATGGATGTAAGCCTGAAGTGGCCCACATGTAAAATACCAAAAATGGCCCAAATTTATCAAATCACATGTGGGCCTCTGTAGGCAAAGATGTGGTGTTCACGGCAATGTGTAATATGAATGTGACCCTAAGGTGGCCCATGTGGTAAATAGTGAATATGGCCCAAATAGTGCCAACCAAATGTGGTCCACCTTTGGCAAAAATGTGGCACAGTCGACAAAGGCTAATCAGGGTGTAAACCAAATGTGGTCCACATATGTTTCAGCAAATGTGGCCCAGGTATATTAAAACTTATCTGGGCCAGTTTTGGCAAAGATATGGCACAATGAGCACTGGCTAATGTGGCTGTGAGCCTAAAGTGGCCCTTATATGATGCCACAAATGTGGCCCAGTTATCCTAAACCATATCTGGGCCAGTTTTGGCAAATATATGGCACCTCTCGCGAGATCTCTGCAAAAAGTCTCACGATTTATTTCCAGAACATAATGCATGATGGGATACACTTAGCCTTGAATAGCACTCTGGAGCGGTATTCGAGATAGTGTGGATTTAGTATCCATTAAGGGCACTGCACTTTGGCATTTTGAAGACCTGGGACAGACTTGCACACTTACTTCCTGTCGCGCGCACGCGCTCTCAAGTGGCCAAGACCGCAAGTGTGGGTTGCTGTACTACATTGTGTTTGGATTTACCCTTGTTGGATTAAAGACGATTAAAGAAGGTTATAATATATAACCTTTCATCTTCGTTGTGCACTCTTTAACACAGCGTAGCTATGACACTCACAGACTTACTGTGTAGGTAGCGTCTGAGTGAGAAGCATTTAAGTTCAAACTTGTGAAGAAGTTTTAGTGTGGCCCAGATAATGTATATTTATGGCTTATTTGGTTCATTATTAGCTAAAATGTGGCTGTGTAGTGGCCTTGCACCATTCCATGCAGCATGTGGGCCACATGAGGAATGTGGGGAAGACCAGGGTTAAAATAAAAATCAACTGTGGCCCACATTAGGGCCAGTTTTGGTTTATTTGGTTGGCTTACATGCAGCAATGCTACGGCTTACTTGAGGCCCAAATCTGGCAAACAGAACTGGACTGGCCAAATGCCAATATTCCACGCAGTATGTGGGCCAGAGCAAGGTGTTGGATCTGGGCCAGAATTAAAATAAATGTGGCCCAGATTTGGGCCAGTTCTAATTTATTTATTTATTGTCATGGCTGACATGCGGCCTTCCTATGGCTTGCTTGTGGCCCAAATTTGGCAAACAGGAGTGGAACACACAAATGCCATAATTCTACATAGTATGTGGGCCAGAACAAGGTGTTAGATCTGGGCCGTATCTGGGCCAGAATTAAAATAAATGTGGGCCAGATTTGGGCCAGTTCTGGTTTATTTTATTTATTTATTTTAATGGCTGACATGCGGCCTACCTATGGCTTGCTTGTGGCCCAAATTTGGCAACATGAGTGGACCACCCAAGTGCCATCATTCTTCACAATATGTGGGCCGGAGTAAGGTGTTGGATCTGGACCAGAATTAAAATCGATGTGGCTCAGATTTGGGCCAGTTCTGCTTTATTTGGTTTATTCATGGCTGACATTGGGCCTTCCTTTGACTTGCTTGTGGCCCAAATCTGGCAAACAGGAGTGGTCCACCCAAATGCCATCATTCTTCACAGTATGTGGGCCGGGGCAAGGTGTTGGATCTGGGCTGGAGCTGGGCCAGAATTAAAATCAATGTGGCACTGATTTGGGCCAGTTCTGCTTTATTTGGTTTATTCATGGATGACATTGGGCCTTCCTTTGGCTTGCTTGTGGCCCAAATTTGGCAAACGAATGGACTGCCCAAGTGCCATCATTCTTCACAGTATGCGGGTCAGAGCAAGGTGTTGGATCTGGGCTGGAGCTGGGCCAGAATTAAAATCAATGTGGCCCAGATTTGGGCCAGTTCTGCTTTATTTGGTTTATTCATGGCTGACATTGGGCCTTCTTTTGGCTTGCTCGTGGCCCAAATCTGGCAAACAGGAGCGGACCGCCCAAGTGCCATCATTCCATGCGGTATGTGGGCCAGATGAAAGTGTCAGGTGTGGGCCTGATCTGGGCCTCAGGAATTTTGCTATCTGGGGAGGCAACAACACGCTCAAGTATTTTTTGCCAAAAATGTAATATTTTAAATGGTCTAAGGCAGTGGTCGGCAACAGGTGGCCCGCAGCCAGATTATTTTGATAGCGGCTGGTTCTGAAATAGATCTGTCATGACAGCAACAGTTAGCTTACTCCAGTGATTTTGACTGGAGCGAGGAGCTGATTTTTTTTAAAAGTCGGAGCGTGGTTTTGATTTCGATTTCATGATTTAAACAAGTACTACAACACTTATTCACATGCAATCAGTCTCTCAATAATGCATTCAAACAAATGTAATCTTACAGTGCTACTTCATCTGTATCTGATTTCGAATTAGCAGAAATCTGTAAGAAATGCATCGATCCGTAGGTAAAATAACTGACGAAAACAGTTATTTTCATCACAAACTTAATTTGCACTGCAAAAAGCAGCAATTATACATTTTAATGCTGACAACCGTGTTATTAGCTTGTCATGTGGTAGGAAAAAAGTTTGATCACTATTGTTCCAATAAGCCACTTTGAAACTTTGCTGTTATTTTATTTTTTAATATACGTTATGAACAGAACTGCGGTATTTCAAACATACTGAAACACTTTAGCAGCAGAGCGGTGTTTCTGCGATGAGTGGAGTGGGAAATGGTAAACCCGGAGCGGAGTGATTATTAAATGCTCGGAGCACGGAGGGGAAATTGTTGATGCTCCATTCCGCTCACATACTCTGCCGGACACCACCACCTTTTTGTTAATGACTGTCCTTCTACAGGATTTAACACAGAATAACAGCTCACTACCAGTTACAAAAGACACTGTAACAGTCTGTCACAGACAATTCTATTTGCATTTTTCATCAATTCATTTCTTAAATTATCCTTTGACTATGTTCTGGCCCACCATCTAGTGGCGACATTTTTTTTGGCACGATGCCAAACTTATTTGCCGACCCCTGGTCTGAGGCATCATTTTCTTTTTTCAGCATAGAAGTTATAGCATTTCTTAATGCTGCTGGAACAACCCCAGTCTGCAACAAATCATTTAAAATACTAAAATAGTAAGTATAGTAATAGTAAAATAGTAATAGTATCATAGTAAGATTTAAATAATTATTGTGTGAACAAGAACAGGATTTTGACATGAACACTTAATACTTAGCCTTTCAGAGTATACACTATTTGATAGCATGTGCTAGGCCTGCACAATGAATCATATTTTAATTGTGATCATGATTTATGCTTCTCTCGATTTATTAAGCATAATCGTCTGCAATATTTGGCCACTGGTTATTCAACCTGAAAACATTTTATTTTAATTTGGCATTTGTGTTGTCTTGCATTGGTAACAAACCTCCATAAGCTTTAATGATTTTGATCGTTAAATGTCAAGTTTAAATCCCTCAATCTGAGCTTTTCTTTTAAATGGATACATTTTATGCCCAGTGATTTAATAACTTTTCCCAAACTGCCAAATATGCTCATGTGGTCTCTCTGCATTGCAGAAAAAACACTAATGAGCTGAAAACACCAGCAAACATGTAAGATGGAGTTTAGCGGTCTCCATTGAGATATTCTTTTGTTGTTGTTGTTTTTGGCAAAACAATTGTGATTGACCATTTAACCATTATCGTGCAGACCTAGAGTGTGTGAACACAGACACTTATATGCGCACTACAAAATGTCATGCCTGTCCAGTTTTTGTGCTATTCCTCTCATGGGCGTCTATTGTTGTTGCCATCTGCAGTAGTTTGTTGTTGTTCTGTCTCTATATTTAACACTGTGAAACGGGTCTGGGCAGTGAATGAATGAATGAAAGAAAAAATTTAAAAAAATCTGATTGTGTGCGTCACATGCACTATACACATACAGTACCCTAGCATACACATTAACCAAAGTATACTTTGGGCTAACTACTTAATAACCCTGTTGACACTTGGAAAACTTCCAACATGATTGAAATGTTCTCTGGCTGATGTTGGTAGATTCTGTGGCTTTTGGAGTGACCTATTCTTCTCATACTCTAGAACGGTTAAGGAATTGAACTGCTGGCATCTTATACAACATCTTCCATAAGGAAATGCAAAGGCACCTTTAAAAAAAAATGAAAAGCAATACTAACCTTACTGTGGCAGCTTTTGGTTCTCCCAGCAGCAAACTTTTCTCACCAAAATACTGTCCAGCTTTTAGTTTGAAAAGAACTGCTGTATTATCCTTTGATAAAACCTCCACTTCTCCCTTGTGGATGAAATACATCTAGCAAAACAAAGCATAATTTTTAAACATAATTAGGGTTCAAACTGAAGAAAGGACGTCAAAAGATGATTTGGGGGATGGGAGGCTTTACTTGTAAAGATATATATCTATAGCTCCGACTAATACTAAATTGCAATGCATACCCAACATTATGCAAGAACATTATGTAAGTGTCTCTATAAATTACACCCTGAACATAAACATTAACATGCTGTTACCCTTTCAGGCTTATATAGCCATTCAAAATTTTCAAAAATCAGATGCACAGTATGTTTCCAATGTTCTTGCAATAATAACCTCTGATCCATAGTCATTTTTCTTATATATGAGATCATTGGCTCTGAACAGGGATTGGGAAATTCTTCTGGCTAATAAGCGAATGAAGCATCCATCAGTTTCTAACTCCTCCAGACACTCCTTTGTTAACATCGTCTCAAAAAATGGTCCCTGCAAACAACACCTTGTAAATCTGAGTGACAGATAATTATTTTCATCTCATTAAAATAATTTCAACATGTATCTAATTCCAAAAAAAAAAAAAAGGAAAAATAGCAACACAGGTACTGTCTACTGTGCAAGATCAAGCAAATTAAGTTGTCATTCAAGTTATTACACTGAGTTTCCCTGCTTTGGTTATTGCCGCAGGAGACAAAGGACGTGTCTCAGATTCGAGTGTTTTCTTGATCTGGATATTAAGACCAAACACCTAGGAAAAGAGATAAGTTTACATAATTTAAGTGCCATTCTATAGTAATCTTTACATTAATAATAGTACATTTTACCTTTGCTATAAAATCAGCATAAAGAACTGTTGATATATCACCGACTAATGAAGATGGCAAATACTCAGTCAGTTTCTCCTGGTCAAATCCTTTTGTGAGTTTCCATCGAAATACGTAAAATCTAACTACACTGTCATATAAAGCCCCAGTTATTTTGTGGCTCTTACAAAAAAAAGAGAGAAAAGAAATATTAGTTAATACAATACATACAATATACAGAAACATTCCAATCATTCCAACGTAAATTCATTATTTTGAAGAATTTCATTTACCTATGATGCATTACATGATCAAAAGTTAGTGCAAAGAAATGTATAATGTTACAAATAACTATTTCCATTTCAAGTTAATGTGGTATTCAGACTCTCAGTTCTTAAAAGAATCCTGTGCAGCACTGACAGCATTTGCAATCTAGCAGTCAGATATTCAGTTTCATCTCAGGCTTTTTTTGCCCAGTAGTATCCAACTGCAGTCCTGCAGCGCCACGTTTCAGGACACACGAGCCAGGCCACCCATCTAAAGGCCTGTTCACACCAAGGATGATAACTATAAAGATAACGATAAAGATATAGATTTAAAATCATTCTTAATATTAAAGAATAGCAAAGCCCACACCACAGCTAAAGGCACAGAGAAACGATATCGTTGGAATCACTTTCAGAACATTTCTTTTCCCAGCTGATGAACGATAAAAACACTGACACCCGATCAGAATCAATACTGCTATAATGTGAGCTTAGAATAAACAGATGATATCGTCTGCTGATGTGGAAGCTAATATAGTTATCTTTATAGTTATTGTTCTTGGTGTGAATGGGCCTTAAACCTGGAAGTGAGGGGCAGAGTTATTAAAACATAACAACATGGCCACTTTGTTTTTAATTTATTTATTATATACTGTATTTAATGCTTTGTTCTAATTCTATTACATTTATTGTTTGTGGGTTTATGTAACGGTACTCCAGAGCACTTTATGTTTGTTATTGACTTTGTCAAAGTTGAGATAATGTGTGTTATGCATTTATAATTTCACCTCTTGTAGGGACACACTACAAAATCTCATCGAAAAATTTATTTATTATATACTGTATTTAATGCTTTGTTCTAATTCTATTACATTTATTGTTTGTGGGTTTATGTTACGGTACTCCAGAGCACTTTATGTTTGTTATTGACTTTGTCAAAGTTGAGATAATGTGTGTTATGCATTTTTAATTTCACCTCTTGTAGGGACACACTACAAAATCTCATCGAAAATGTGCAAGATTCCAGAGACCCTTTTACATTGGGTCAAAACTTTTTTGATCAAATGCAATGAAAAAAGAGGACTAAAAGTGAACTCTTCTTTTAATGTGTGATAATTATAATAATTTCAAAAGTTGATAATTATTTGCTGTTTATTATTTCTAGTACAGTTTAGTTTTAAGTGATATTTTTTGTTGTTGAAATTTCTTTTTATTTAAGAAGTAGGTTACAGTTTTTTAATATTTTGAATTTCAAAATAAAAAGTATGCTTGACATTCAATGTCCATGCTCTGTCTTTAAAGGGATAGATCACACAAAAGTTAAAATGAAAAATGATTTTACCTTGCACTTTACCTTGTCCTTGCTACGTTTCTGGACCTGGGAACATTGCAGTTGTGTTGCTGTCTATGCAGGGTCTGAGAGCTCTCGGATTTCATAAAAATATCTCAATTTGTGTTCCGAAGATGAACAAAGGTCTTACAGGTTTGGAACGACATGAGGGTGAGTAGTAATTACTGACAGAAATTTAAATTTTTGGGTGAACTATCCCTTTAAGTATTTGTTACAAAATGAACATTAAAGGGGTCATATGATGCGATTTCAATTTTTCCTTTCTCTTTGAAGTGTTACAAGCTCTTGGTGCATAAAGAAGATCTGTAAAATTGCAAAGACTAAAGTCTCAAATCCAAAGAGATATTCTTTATAAAAGTTAAGTCAACCACGCCTACCTAAAACGGCTTGTTCTAACACGACCCCACATGTCTACGTCACAATGTGGGAAGATTTGCATAACGCCACCCAAATGTTAACGCAAAGAAAGAATGCGTAACTTTTATTCTCACTGTAGTATTGTTGCTGCCGCCATGTCGTGAAGGCGCTGTGTGTTTTTCGTTGTTAAAGCAAAACTACTTTGTTTTGCCTTCCAAAAGAGAATGATATCCACTTCGTCATGCCTAGAGCTGATCCGTGCTGGTCGCTGAGGAAATACATCAACTTCGCGCTGTGGATCGCCGGATCGGCTTTCACCGTGGACGAAGCGGAGTCCAGCCCGGGGTCGTCACATGTGGTTGCCGCAAGCCCGCCTGGCCGCGCCGTTCTCAAGGCCGCCGGCCGCTGCTCACTCTAGCTCGCCGTGTGTGACGCTGTGTGTTTTGTTGTGAAAGCGAAACTACTTTAGCAACATCATATGACCCCTTTTACTAAATATTATCTCGTAATAGCCTACAGTCAAATGGAATTCAGTATGCTACATGATGCTACATTTATTAACTACATTGATCTAAATGAGTAACAATAAATATTTTCAAAATCCATGTGAGAATAGCTTGTATTACGTCTATCAAAAGAAAGTTACACTACAAAACTGGAAGTGGTGTGACTCTAATAAGACCAAATCTGTCCTAAACCAAATGGTTCGCCTCACTTCCAGTTTGAGACAGGTGGCCTGGTGTGTGTGTGTCCTGAAACATGTGGCGCTGTGGGGCTGCAGCTGGATTTATCTCCCTTTTGCAGCATTTGTCCATTTATTGATAAAACTCTTTTCTAAAGGCCAGTTGCATTTTTTTGTATTCTCTTCACTATTAAAGAGACTCTGTACTCCCCATCTTGATGTGGCACTTCTGGAGTGCCCAGTTCTCTCCCTGTCCATTAAAAACCAAAATACTCAATACTTCAGCAACAGAAAAAAGCAATTTTTCCACCCTTCATTAAGCAGCACAATCACTTTCAGCCTTGCTAATAATAAGAAAGATTAAATAACACAAGATAATCTAAGTAGATTGGCGTAATAGTTTCTGAAAATTAGGCTTTGCCATTAAAAAACTATTTCAAACAGTACTAATTTACAATATTACTGTTTTTGATTGTGGAAATTAATCAAATGATACACTGGTTATCAGTAAGATGGAACAGATTCTGTATGAAAATAAATACCTTCAAGAACAGTTTCATGCTCTCCGTTTTCTCTGTATAAGCAGCTCTCATAGCATCTGTGTTTGCCAGCATAGCAGTAACAGTGCCTGATAACCAGCCAGTAAACAGCATCGCAGCAATCATAATGAAACTCATGCCAGCTTTCTAAAAATGTGGTTTATGCACAAAGAAAAGTCAGTGGCTGGAGATGCATAAAGCAAGCAGGGAGTCTCTAAACATGCATAGCACATAGAACCATTGTGTGATTTATGGAAAAATAGTTAAAAAGAAAAGGCATAAAACCTAAACTGTAAAGTAGAAAATTGCAAAACATGTTGTCAAAAACATGCTATGCCCTATTTCATCTCAAATCAAAGGAAAAATAGGAAAGGTATGAATTATTTTCATGACAATTAACCATCCCCATTCTAATGACCATAAAGTAAAAAGCGTAGACATTTTTAGTTAAGTTCATCCAAAATTTTCCTGATTTAATACTTACCATTGCAGTTAGAGATGGATAGATGTCCCCAAATCCAACAACACATACTGTTGTGGTTACAAAGTACAAGCTCATTAAATACAACTCCTGGAAATGAACAGTGCCTGAAGAACAAAAATCATCTGTTATTTTATTGTTATTTTTTAAACATATACAGATGTATTTTTAATCTTTTAGCTATATGATAAAGAATAAAACATATTCAATGGTCAAAGCTCTGAAGAACAATACGTACCAAAATTGACATCAAATGATTTGTCCAAGTGTCTCACCCAGGACAATAATGTACAATTGTGCTTTGTCACTGGTAAGAAATAGTCACTTATGTTTCCATAAAGGTCTGCAGCAGGGCATGAGCTTGCAAAGGTAATACAAGTGGTGAAGTGCACGAAAAGAGCAGAATATACCAACAACTTCAAAACAGTAATGGCGTTCCTTTCAGCAGTAATGTCAACTTGCAAGAATGAAAATGCAAAGGGAATGCGATATAACTGGAAAATATGTGGAATCCTAAAGTATGCATAAAGATGCAATGCTTCATTATTGGCATAAAATCCATTCTCACCAAATGGTGAAATCACAATCCAACCCACAAGTTCCCAAGGAAAGCAGGTTATGAAATCTACAAGGAACCCGGTTTTGACATAATGATGTGCTGTTTCCAAGGTGTCAACTTTGAGATCATTGTCTTCATAGAAAGCAACATGCATGCGGATATAAATGTCCACCCAACAACACAATCCAAGTATGTAACAAACAATCCACATCTCCATTCTGACGTGTAAAAATGCAATAAGCAACGAGGTAATGATGCTGACAGCGATTGCTAAAATGCTACGGAAAAATTCCCATCTTACATAAAATGCACTGCTGGGCAAAATGGCTTTCCTGCAAAAGCATAAGAAGAAACAAATCATATTTCTCAATAGGTAAGTACTTGGATACTTACAATATTAGGGTGCTCAATTCATTTACAATTAAATATGCTAAAGCTTCCAATTTAGTGGAACAAGCTAATTTTATGATGTGAGGTACTGACATCTTTAACATTATCAGTAGTATTAAAACACCACAGTAACACTGCATTTACCTCATTAGGAAAGGTGATGGGCATGACCACAAGAAGAAATATGCAATGTGTCTCATTAAAGTCCTATGGAATCAAAAACAATAATGTACACTTAAAGGAATAGTTCACCCACATTACTTATTCACTCTCATTAAAACATTTTCATTTTTGTATGAACTATTGCTTTAGTTTATCAGTTTAATGCAAAAAAAAGTGCCGATTGGTTTTTATGGAGAGCTTGGTTAACCCGGCCAATAAGAGACCATTAACTACAATTCTTCCTTTTTATTATACAGATGTTTTATTAAACACTGACCCAATATCAGGTAAAAACTATAGAGATTCATGGGTTCTCAAAGATCACCCCCTAGCAGAGGAAGTTTTGAAACAGAATGTTTTGAAACAGTTATGACGTAACGAAACCTCGTTTCACTTGGCAGTTTGATACATGCTCCGAATCACTGGTTCTAAACAAAGGATTTGCAAAGGTTTCAAAGCTTAATAAAGCAGTGCTTTTAATAGCGCCCATCACTAGCTGAAAGTGTGAGATCAGAGTAATGCTATTATTGAGAACAGATTTTAAGAACCATTCTGTTGTAAAAAGATATAGGTAAAAAAGAGATAAGGAAGTGGGTGCCATTTTGTTTGGAAGAACAACATTTTCTCTTTCACTTCGCAAGGAATTAAGGGAAGGTTTTTTTTTTTTTGATGTGTGTATAGTTAAATTATGTTTATACAATTTATTTTTTTAGTCCTTTGTTTATTATTTTGGCCCGACTCCCTCCTTAATTATTTTGTGTTTCCGTTATTTTCTCTTATCAATGAACCTGACTTTGATTCATTTCAAATCAAAGTGTTGTTCCTAGTGCTGGGGCTGGAGATGAGATGTTTCTTGTGCATTCTTTCCACTTTTTGTTACCTCTGTCCTCTAGACAAGAGGATTAGATCATAGCAAGTCAAAGAGTGTAATTGAATAAATAAGGCATATGATTAGGAGCGAATGTGCATATTTTAAAATAAAAATATTACCTGCAAATACTTCAAGTACATTATTGTACAATAAATTCTAATTCTTTTACTATATTACTTTCTTTTTCCTTCTTCCATATAAATACCTTTATTATTTATACCATTAAATTACATACACAGGAATTGGACAAATATGGGAACACCCATTACTGTAGGGGTCAATCATTTTTGTAGGATACAGTGAAAAAACCTTGCAATTACCTTTTATTTATCTTTTTGTTCTCTATATTCCATAAGTTGTATATCAGTGTGATGTAAGTTTTGTTCAGCAGTGTTTAGTATGTGAAATTGGTAACTTGTCAGACATGCAAAAGGGGCAAAGAAATATTGCCAGGTGTTCACATTATTTTGTCAAACTAAATTTTCACATCATCAAAATAATGTTCTGCTTACTTTGGTCTCTGTCGTTTCATTCGTCCCAGTGGAACGGTTTCTTCCTCGGATCCAGCATACATTGGAATGTTTCCAAAGTCCTCCACATCTAGAAAGATATTTGTATATACAGGTGCATCTAGTTAAATTAGAATGTCGTGGAAAAGTTCATTTATTTCAGTAATTCAACTCAAATTGTGAAACTCGTGTATTAAATAAATTCAATGCACACAGACTGAAGTAGTTTAAGTTCCATGACATTCTAATTTATTGAGATGCACCTGTATTTTATCAGTTGTTAAAAAAGCTAGGGCTTCTATTTTGGCACAGTCCTTAAAGCCCTTTTACTCCAAAACCAAAATGGACATTCATCAGGGCAGGGGGGTGACCCCCCCTTTATTATTCATTTTTAAATAATGCCAGGATAATATACCAAAATACTAAATCTGGTTGATATTTATTTGTTTTAAACTAAAGTGCATGAAATTATAAAATCAAAGATTAACGTACAGGCTTCTCAGGCCAGTTGCAGTGCTAACGCTTTGTTTTAGTCGTAATTTTTGTACTGAAGAAAATATCCTTCAGTCAAATTTTAAGTTTAAGTCTAAAGTGGCATCTAGTTTTAGTCAGCTTTAAAATTGCACCGGACAATGGGGGCCTTTAAAGTGTCATGAAACCCTAAAACATATTTTTAAGATGTTTATATATGAACAGGTTGCACACCAGTCAAAACAACAATAGCACTCATTATGCCTATTATTAAGGTAAAAGTGGTTATTTTTTTGAACAATTTCGTTCTTCCGGTTCAAAAAACAAAGTTAAACCAGCGTCACGAAAAGTGACATATATGCGTTAATTTGCAGTGGTGATTGTCTGCCGTGGCTGGAGAGTACGCGTCTACGTCATCAGTTTTCCGACCTTTTCTGAGTATTATTCATGAGAATGAAGTCTTACGATCCAATCACTGCACTGTATTATGCAAGAGGTTGTATTACAGTGGAGAATTCAAATCTCATGAAAGAGCTTCCGCGCTGTCAGTTCATTTCTGTAAAAATGACTGTAACAATATTTAATATGACAACATGTGAAGCGTCTGATCATGAATGCGATGACACAACGGATTATTGCACACAGCAAACGATACAGACCAAATATTCAAAGAAGAGTAAACAAAAAGTAACTGCCTTTATTCTTTGTTTTAAAGGTATTTTAATAATCATTTGTCTGTATAATGAGTGTGTTGTAGGACTGTGTTTTATTGGTTGTTGTCTCCTCTCTTCCCACCCTCTACACTCCCACGTTTCCAGTTTTACGCGCCCATTTCTGTCTGGAGTCTTTTTCAGATCTAAGGTGTGAAAGACCAGTGCTGAAACGGGGGTTTCATGACACTTTAAGTCAAAAAGGCTGAGAACCTTTATATCTTGTAAAAACCTTGTTATTTCTTTGAGTTAATTATGTAATTTATCAGTCATTATACGGTCTAATTAATATCAGGCAGATTTTCTTTCAATGCTTACCAAATATATTTAAGCAAATTAATATATGCTATGCATTTTTACTGTATTTTTAAACCTTGTTCCCATAGTTACTTAGTATTACTGAGTCATAATGATAGGTAAGTGCTGACAATATATATAATGTATGGAGTTATGTTTCTCAAAATACTCACAGCATTTTATCTTCTTGGAAAATCTACGTCCTTGAAATGACAATGTGAATTTTTGTCTCTGTGCAACATCAGATTCTTTGATATGGGATTGCCTTTTCAGTATTTTCTCTGCAGTCTCCACCAATGTTGTGTAGCATTTTGGCTCCGATTGGAATTCTTCAATTTGCCTAAAAAAATTACAGTTTCCTGATAAAATATTCTTTATCATTAAAGAGACGTTACTTTAACATGTAATTTGTTTCTTAGTTTGTAAAACATACCTTTTAAGCAGGGGATATTTCTCAAGAAGTACTCTGATCTTGTCAAAATCAATGACTACAATTTCACAGCATGTCACAGCACGTACTGTCAATGTGGCTTGTTTTCCAAACAAAAAACCTGCCTACAGGAAAAAAAAAAAAAAAGATTATTCATTTAAAAGATGTACACAAAACTATAGTATCTGGGTCAATACCAAGACACTACAGAAACTACACTACACTACACTTTGCGGTATACTGTTATTGACAAAAACACTGAAATTAAAAACATGAAATATTTATGTTGTGTAGGAAAGATTGTGGGTATTTGGACAGGCCCTGAAAATCTGAACAAGGTGTAACAACTATTTATATGTTGCGGAACACACCTCAAAGTGCAGGGCCTAAGTCAAAGTGCAGGGCCTAAGTGCCATTTGCCAATAAACTGACATGATTTTATCCAGGTTTCAGAGTTCCTATAGCATCAGCCACTGATGCAGTGTCAAAGTGATTGATACAAAAGGGAACAATGTATTTAATTGTTACCTCTCCAAAATGCATTCCCTTCTGATAATGTCCAACAACTTCTGAAAGATTATCATTCAAAATCTATAAAATATTCAGTAAATAAATAAATCAAATACAATTCTCAATGATTAAACAACGATTAAAATAATCAAGTTATAGGCTATAACTTATTTTGAAGTCTGCACTGAACTGCTTAATTTATGCTTTAATTTTAAAGGGGTGGTTCATTGCGATTTCACTTTTTTAACGTTAGTTGGTGTCTAATGTTGCTGGTTGAGCATAAACAATATCTGCAAAGTTACGAAGCTGAAAGTTCAATGCAAACGGAGATATCGTCTTGTCAAATTCAGTTTAATGAAAAGGAAAAGGCAGCAAAGGGGGCGAGGCCATGCTGCGCTGCTTTAGAGAAGAAGAAGAGAAAACTAGAGGTGCACGTAAAAATCTGTTCATATATGAATCGCGATTCTGTCTTCTAACGATTCTAATGGATTCACAAGTTTCAAAATCAATGTTCAAAAGCAGCGGTTCTCAATACTGTTCCTCGCGTTCCCCTGCTCTGCACATGCTCTGCATCTCTCTCTCTCTCTCTCTCATTCAGCTCATCTCCAACAATGAACTGTTCCAATTATACAATTATTTAGATGCGCACTAGAGGCGGTTTAGCCAATCACAACACACTGGGCTAGCTAACCAATCAGAGCCCATCGCCTATTTCGAAGGGAGGGGCTTCATAAAAGCAGGGAATGATCAGCGTATTTCTCAGAGAAGAGAAAATTATGTGAAAAATAATGTGGTTTTTTTTTTTTAAATGAAGCATTAACACATGTTAGACTGCACCCCATTAAACACAATCAAGCCTAGAAAAAAACCAGTGAACCACCCCTTTAAAACTGCATACAACTGAGATGAAATGTTTGTACAGAAATAAACTTTATGAAAAATGCTGACCTCACATGTTCCCCTGCGAATACAAAAGAGCTCTCTTGTGATAGTTTTACTGTACTGAATAATTTCCCCTTTAGGAAAAAAGTACATGACTGAAGTTAAAGCAAGGTCCCGTATAAATGACTGTCCAGCTTCTGCAAAGTAAGGAATCTGTAAAGAGGGAAAAAATGGAATAGTTAGTTTATTTTGAACCAGCCCTCATAATATTCTTTGGCAAATGTGTAAAATGATTCTTACCCCCCAACTTTCCAGACCAGTAGTTTAAGGCTGTTTCGTTATGGGCCAAAATTAACAAAATAGGGCAAATGCCTTTTTTTTTTTTTTTCCAGCCACAAAAATAAATGTCTCCATGCCTTTATATCACTACTTTTCACTGTCTTTAGTAAATACTGACAGTAGTTTTTTTAACACCAAAAGAGGGTTTTTACTGGCCTAAATCTGGCCCTATGTCTTTAAACTAGATTATGATCAGTATTATAACTTAAATGCCAATTTCACACAAATTCCTTTACGCAGACTCCTCCCAAGGAGTGACAAACCCAATGTCTGAATAGAATTTTATGCATTAATCTTTAGACTAAGCCCCACCAGGTTTTGTGAATGTGCATATAACGCTGCTGGTTCAGATTTTCATGAACCAGTGAAATGGTTTTCTTATCCTTTCTCCTAAGGATTCAGGAGATCATTTATCACATGATTTGACCCTGGTCTTCTCATTCTCCCCCATGGAAGCCTTTGCGACTCAAGGAAGCACATTTAGAAGCATTTATGAACAACAGGTTAGGTGTGGCTTAAGACACATCTACCAACATATTGATGTGGCCCTATTTGTGTCTCAGAGGTCATCACTGCTGGATGCAATTCCCACAGCATCAGTTGCTGACACAGCATGGTCCCTTATTCAGGTAACTTAAACAATGTTTTTTTTTTTTTTTTTTAACCCACAGACATTTAGTGGTTTAAGACATACAAATACACTCAACAAAATTATAAACGCAACACTTTTGTTTTTGCTTCCATTTTTCATGAGCTGAACTCAAAGATCTAAGACTTTTTCTATGTACACAAAAGGCCTATTTCTCTCAAATATTGTTCACCTGGCATGATTGAGAGCAAACGTGAGCGGTCACGGGCCTTCGGCAGGGTGTGGCCAAGTAAAAAATAAAAAATCTCCAAAAAATCGCTAGTTTTATTTAAATATAGCTAAAATAGCTCCTTGTCGTAAAAAATAAAAAAAAGTCGCAGCTACAATGAGAAAGTAGCTAAATTTGGCGACAAAATCCCCAAATTGGCAACACTGCTCCAGTTAGCAAGCACTTTCGGAGTGAGAGTGAATTCCACTTTGATTGGTCGGACTCATGACTCCCAACAAATCAGATGAGCGGTGGGCGGAGACTGCTTTAGGCCACAGAGT